TCCGAATCGGGTTTGTGCATGTGTGTGCTATCTACAGGGCATGTAATGTAGACGTTTAAGTAATACAACCCACCCATTTGGGTTGTGAAACCTCTTCGCACGGGGGGGTTATTGATCGATAGTTTATATTTAGCATGATTTGTTTATATGGGAGTTATCCAAAAGGTCCTTGTAAGGGTTTTTAATGTCGAGAGCCTTGGATGACATGATCGTGGGTCTCGCGAAAGTATTTTTTCGAGTTCGCGAATGTTAATGTGTTTTTTGCGAAAGATTCGCGAAAGTATGTTTTTTTTCAGCAGCTTCAACTTTGGAATCCGTGTGAAGCTTCCTTCCTGTTTCATGTAGTCCACCCTATGTTATGTATGCCGTAAAAACCTCCAAAGCACAGTTTTTTTTTTTTGCCAAAGTTTCGCGAAAGTCTGGAGAAGGTTTCGGCGAATGAATCGGCTCCAGAGGAACCCCGTAGCCCATAGCAACCCCACAAACTTCATCATCCAACGTCCTTGTGCAAATGCTTTCTCTAACAACATGTGCCAACGAAATTCTGCTCCAACACCACTTTCCTGTCTGTAGCATCCTCCTGCTGAACCAAAAACACTCCGTGCACTTGTATTTTTAGAAATCGAGTCCCTACCAGGTTAAATGGTTTCATGACATGGTGAACCCCCGCGAAAGAAAAACACAGGGTTCGCGAAAGTTTCGCGAATGTTAATGTGTTTTTCGCGAAGAATGGCCGTTTCAATAAACAAGAATATTGGACAACCACCATATAGCAAGTATTGCAAGTAGATAATGCTGTCGTTCTTCGCTCGGGCACTGGATGGAAAGCAAACAATGTGTGTGTGGCTGATTTGTTTGGCTTCATAAAAGGAACTCTAGCACCTTTTTGCCTGAGAACATTGTGTAACATATATATATATAGTAAAACCTTTAAAACTTTAAAACGTATGTTTACAAGACTGTATATAGCTGTAAATCTATTTCATTGGAGAGAGTCCGTTTTCAAGATATCAAGTCAACATAGTAGTCGGTGCCAAAAGTCAAAGTCCAAAAATAGTCAAATCAGAAAGTATCAGAAAGTAAACGAAACGTCAATTGGCCTAGATCCGACCGCTTTTCTTTGTTTCGTGTTGTTTTCTAATTTTGACATATGTCCGACTTTTTGTTGACTGTTGTTGTTTTGCTTTTATTTGACTTTTTGGAGTTGCATTTTGACTTGTTTTTTTCTGGCTTTGTTTTTGACTTTTTTTGGAGTTGTTCTAAAAACTGTTGACTCTTGTTTGATGTTTAAAAGAGAATTGTTTTGACTTTTTCCGACTTTTTTGACTCGTATTTGACATGTTTGTGTTTCTTTTGAGTTGTTTTCTATTGTTGACTTGCTTTTTGTACTTTTGTTTGATTTTTTTCCGACAAATTTGGACTTTTCCATTTGACGTTTTCTTGAATTTGACTTTTCCACTTGACGTTTTTTTGACTTTGACTTTTCCACTTGGCTTTTGTTCGACTTGTTTTTAAACCAAGGATCCTGGCCTTACCATATGAAAGAATTTTACAATTATATAGGCTTGCGGCTTACATTTGCCCAGTCGCTCAGGAAGAACAGATCCGCTTCGTTTGTCCAGGAGCTTTTTTTGTGGGATCAAACCGCAGAAGGGATTCCTTGAAGCACAGGGCCAGTGTTCCAAACACGACGAACTTCAGCTTATATAGGAAGTCACCAATCCCTCTACTGAATAACGGGGTCAGTGTTCCAGACAGCCTACTTCAAAGAAACAAGTGCATGGACAACAAACCAACAAGGGCTTCAGAAGAGAAGGCTGCTATATCTTTGCTTTTTGGCTGACGGAAACCTCACTGACTCATTGCATGGGTTCTACAATCATCCTGACCCGATAATCAGATTCTCAAGTTGATCACACTCACCAGACTTCCACAAAAGATTTCCCATGTTTCTTGGGTGACCAGGTTTTGGGGATTGTTTTACACAGTTTCTCCTGATCAGATTCCACCAATCGATCAGATTGTCCCAAACTCTCCTGGAGTTTCCTTCGTTTCTTGGTGCCACCAGGCCATCTGCAAGTACGCTGGTATTCCATACGAGACCTTAGTTTTCGAGGACTGCTTTGCAAGGAGTTTATACAATTGGATCTGGAAGATCCTAACAGTTTAGCATGTTTGCAGTCTGCGTTCACCCTCTTAATCTCTTGGAGTGGAGGATGTTCACACATTTTCACACTTGTTCTGCTTGAAGGATCTTGAAGGGTGTTTCTCTCAGGTTGGCACACCAAGTGATGGTGAACCAAGTCGTCGAAGAGTTGTTGGGTGATTCAGGCTATGGCGAGCAATACCCATCGACCCTAACCATCATCCCTCAGGATTGAGGACAGTTCTCCGCCCGGCTCTATTGGGATTGATGAAAAAGCTACGACCTACTGGTGCATGTCCAAGAATCTTGCCTCTTTCCTACGAATTCCTACGACCTACTGGTTGTTCAATCTCTTTTGCCCGACGTTTGATGTTCATCCATTTCTTCGATCAAGTGATTCTTACATATATCAGGACACGGATCAAGTACATATGGGTGGGACTTCTTCGACCCCACCGGGCACCCGGTCAATGCCGCTCCCTCTTCTCCAGGACTCGGAGCCAATCACGGTGGACCGCGTGCGGCAGACGCTGCGCGCGAGCCGCTGCTCGCACGTGTCGCTGGTGCACCACGAGACCACCGCTGGGGCGACGTGGCGAAGAGGAGGATGAAAAGCACCCAGCTGTGGCTGCCACGAATGGACCAGTGGACCATGAGTAAGGGTCCATATGAGTCATATACTTATTGTTCTTAAGGACCAGGCGACAATTGGGGAGGGGACTCCATGAAACTAGGGGGCCCGCAGCCTGTTGATGGATTTTGTTGATGGTACGGTGTGTTTTGGAGGTTCCTTTGTGGGAGGGGACTCAATTCTTCAGTAGGATCCTTGGCAAGTTTTGGATCTCACTCGAGTTGGTGACTTGAACACAATTGGATAAGACCTACTTTCTTTCGTAAACGTCGTCCTTTTGTATCATGTGTTTATATCCTTTTCTGTCATGTTCTTTGTATAGCCGCAGAGCCGAATACATACTAGGAAGTCGGTATCCTCAAAGGAAGTCCATCGCCACACACCTATGGGGTTACATGTCTCGGTGTCTTTGTGTGTCAGCCAGACCTTCCGGCATAATATGCTTCTACAAAGGGCGTCACACTTGGGTTCTGCAGCCATTAGCAGCGATGGATATGAAAGGACACACTGCAACAGTTAGCCAGTTGTTGGGTTTCCAAAGACCGACTAATTACCATCAGATATTGTTTGTCTATTATCAACCCGCAGCCCAACATATACAATATGTTTCCCAGGTACCCAGTGGGAAAGGCATGCTTCTCCCTTTTCAACATATAGGCGTGGCATCTCACATGTCTTCTCGCCCTCGCGCAAACGAGGTGATCAACCCCCTGGAGGAGCTGGTGAAGATGATGAAAGCCGAGTTCCCAGACCTGAAAGGCCTGCGTGTCAACCGCTGGGGCCGGCGACCTCACGAGATCCACCTGTTGGAAGGTGACAGGTGACCGGTGGGCATGTGAAATGACCGGTGGCCAAAGAGCGGGCCAGTAGGCAGATAGAGTATTTATCCGTCCTATACCATGGTTTTGAGTGTGTTTGTGCTTTTCTTTCAGGTGGCAATGACGCATGAATGGAAAGATCAACATTGAATTGACATGAACCCTTTCCGGTGGTGCATCTGTGAGCTTTGTGGCTCCTCCCTGCGAGAGAAGCTCTGGATCCTCGGGTGGTGTCGGCAGGGTCCTTTTTCGCACCGCAAGCTGCATGAAAAGAACTGTCCACCACGTTCCAAGGCGTTTGACAAAATTTGACTGTTGTGTTCCAGTGAGTGGGGTTCGTCACACTGGAAGGCAAAAGTTGAAAGAAGACATGCCATGAGCATAATTTGCACGACCAACGGAATGCACACGACGGCCACCCCCACACCTTCCAAAACAGTACCCCAAAAACAGCACATTAAGCTAAAACACACGCACACCCACACACACGCGCGCGCGTACATGCAAATGTACGCTGTGCTGTTCTCGCCTGGCGCGCGCAGTGCTGGTGGACTCGATGAGTGGCTTCGGCGCTTACGAGTTGGACATGCCCCTGGGAGCGACGGTCCCACTCAGTGGGGGGCGGGCAGCCAGTGGTGGTGGTGGCAGGCAGTTTTGGTTGCAAACTAAAAGTGTTTGGCATCTAAAGGCGGTTTTGGTTGGAGACCCAGTTTTCAATCAAATGAGCCAAGTGCACAGAGAGGCAATGTTCACAGCGTGGAATGGTGGGGGAGCAGCTATTCTTACTGGACAAAACTTCTACACATCTCTTCTGAAATGTTGTCACGAAGCACCAGTTCCTCAAATGGGTGAAAAACAAACAGACAACTTTCTGGGATGCCCTTTTCCAAGAGAAACGCCAGTTCCCAGCTCTTTGACCCAGCCGCGCCCGCGCCCGACCCAGTCGCCCGACCCAGGACCTGGGGGATTGACTTTGCCGTCTCCTCGGCGAACAAGTGCATCGAGGTTCGACTCACGAGACCCTGGGGGGTTCGACTCACTGTGGACGACTCACTGTGGAGTCAGAGTCCAAGAAAGACCACCCGCCCTGTTCAGAACGTACAAAATAAGGTCTTCCCTGGTCTTCGCAGGTCTTCCCTGGCAACTCCGGAACAAACAAGACTGGACATCCCTGAATCCAAGACAATGAGACAACGGTCATCAGGAGGCGTTGCAGTCACAACACATATTGGCAAGAACGCCGAAAATCACAAATGGGTGGATCATTGCCCATGAGAAGGACATTGAATAAACATGGATGACCTGTTTTTGTCGGGTTACGAGGTTGGATGGTCTCAATATGTCTCAATCATGACCAGCTCCGATTGCAGCAGTGCGTCTCTCAGGGGGGTGCCTGGCTTCGCCTATGTCCTTTGTGCCACTGATGCGCTCAAGCAGACGCAGGGCAACGCTCGGAGCCTTACCATGGACGCTTGGTACTATAAGGTGATGTATGTTTTTATTTTTGACTCAGAAGACCTGGTTTTGCTTAAGGTGATGTTTTATACTTTTCCTATGGGTGAATCCCTTAACCTGGTGAAGATGTTTGTGTTTTTGCCGGTTCCTGGACAGCAAATACATCACATCCAAGCGAGTTCGTGTGAGGATGGGTCGAAGGAAACGCCGCAAACCGAAGGCACCGGCTGAAAACTGACGGCATTTGTTCGTGTCAGCACCGGGTAAAAGAGATCGACTGCACACATGCTCTGAAACACGGAACAAAGAAGTCCCGGTGAGTCAGGTCTCTCACTGATCTTTTTCATTCCAGTTTGTTGATGCAGTGGGTGAGAGCTGCATTTTAAGGTTTCCTTCGGTGATTTAGAACCTCTGCGGCCCTGTCAGCACAGCCATCACTGTGTTTGAATACATTTGTACCCTTGTGTATCCTTGTGTACACTTTAAGATTTCTACTGAGGACATCTTCGACCAGTGGGCCAACATGGAATCCACTGGGTCACTTGGCGAAGACACAGAAGTGGCAGAACTGGATTGGCAGTAGAGGAGCGTTCTCCTGGTCTCTTTCAAGAGAGTCCCAGTCAACATGACAGCTTTGGATCAGGAAGCAATGCATGCATACATATGACTTCTGCCGTAGGTGAGAATGTTTGCACGAAACTCCTGCGGCCACGGGCTCGTGTAGGGTCTCTACGCGGCGCATGGCACTCTGCGCGAAGTGTCGCCGCGCCGCGCCAGCGGCTGGCGACGCTTGGTGCTTGGGGTGCTCCGGGTGGGAGGCTCTCGGGTCGGAACTCTCGTTCTCCTGGAGCCATCCCGGACTGCGTGCGGTCGCCACTGACATAGTGGTGAGCGCGGTCCGCCAGGTGCGCGCCTTACGCGTCACTCGGGTCACTCCGCCCGTGGCGCAGGCTGCACGAGGCCAGACCCGGCCACTCACCCCGGAGCGCCCCCCCTCCTACGGCTGGCGTTGGGTCCGAGCCGAAGGATCCTCGAGCTCCGCTGGTGCGATCTCCCCGGCCTGAGATCCCACCGGCTACAGAGGAAAAGGCCGACAAGGACGAGGAGAGCTCCTACGAGTCTGACGAGGACGACTCTGGTGAGGCCTCGGAGGCCACTATAATACAGGACCCAACCAGGCCTGTGAGCACAAAGGGACTGTCCGCGAAGGCAGCGCCCGCTGCTCGTCACGCTGCAGAGCCGGCTGAGGAGGTCAAGCAGGAGAAGGTTGAGAATACTGCTGGTGAGGCTGGGTCCGTGCCCGTGCCCGCCGGTGAGGAGGCGGCAACTTCTTCGAGGGGTCATAGACACCCCAAAGGTGAGCATTCAGTTCGCCATCGAGGACGCGATCGTCGAGGAGACGGCTTCAAGAAGAAGAAGAGAAAGAGAGACAAGACTCACAGGGCAGGTAGAAAGCACAAGCGGCTATATCGAGCAGACGAGAACCCATTCCTCACGATCCATCGAAGTTTGGACAACTCGTATTTTGAGTTTGACTCAACAGCCCCAAGGGAGGACGCGATTCCTGGGGTACCCCCCCGGGGAAGGAAGCAATGAGGGCAGGCGACGAACCTGGAGTTCCTGGTCACGGAGACGACGTTTTCGGGGTCTACGATGTCCGGGATTTTTTCAAGGTGGAATATGTTCGCACCTCAGCCGGGCAATGTGCTGGTAACTGCCGTGCCCTACGAGGTGATTGGTCAGGACGAGGTGGAAGGCTTTTTCTTGGTGCTGGGCTCAACCCTTGCATCAGATGCCAGTATGTTGGTACAGGTACGTGCGATTGGGGCCAGTCGAGACGATGTTGTCCCAACGCTCAGCAGTCTTTTCAACAGGCGCGCTGGTGCTCTTCACATTTGTTTGAACGAGGGACCGTGCGCGATAGAAGAGGGAGTTTTCCATGTGCGTCGACTGGAGCTATGGAATGGATCCGAGTTCCCCTCAGGTCGACTCACAGTTGCAGGTCGAAAGCTGCTCAAGCAGGTATTAGCTCCAGGAGGCACTGGAGACGAGATCGAGGACGCGCTCCAAGCCGAGGACTTAGGCGAGGTTGTCGAGCTAGAGGGCCCAGGAAAGGAGAGGGGAGTGAAGGATCCCCTGACAAAAGGCAAAGGAGGAAAACCACCAGGCGCTCGGGCTTCAAAGCGGAAGGCCCCAGGAGAGGGCCAAAAGGCAGTTTCGGGCCGTACCGCGCCTGGCATCCTCAGGGACAGGCTGGAAAAGGTCCGTCAAAAGCAGCAGAACCGGGGCCTTGGTCGACGAGTCAGGATCGCTGGAGAAAACCAGGTGTTCGAGGAGGATGGAGATGCTTCACCTGCTCCGGCCGGGTTGACTACGAGTTCGAAGATTGGCACCACTCGGGAGGCCGCTGGCGCTCGCCGAGCCGGCACCGAGATCGCGGTCAGGGAGCCAAGAGAAGGTATTATGAAGAATTTGAGGTTGAGGAGGCAGCAGAATGGAGGAGTGGTCGCCACCTTGACATCTCAAGCCGCCAAAGCAGTTCAAGACAAGAAGAGGAGGCCACGAAAGAAGAAGGGCAAGGCATTGGATGCCTTGAAAGTGCTACTAGGCGGCAAGAAGAGAAAGAAAAAGAAAAGAAAGAAAAGAAGAGGAAGAGGGGCGACGATCCCGATGGCGACGACTCCGGGGGGCTCTTCAGGGAGCTCAGGAGAAGACGAGAAGTCAGGAAGCTACAGCGAGAGCGGGGACAGCTCAGAGGAGGAAAAGTCCCTTTTGCCCCCCTCTCAAAAAGAAAAGCGAGAGAGCGGAGGGGTCAGTGCTGGAGCTCCTCATCACGCAGATAGAACAACGCCTCAACGAGTTAGGTGGCGCTGCAGAACACGAGAACCCGGTGTCACACGGCACCAAGGTTCTGACCTACTGGCACTCCCTGACCCACTCCGGAGGTGTGAGCTCCCAGACTCGAGACGGTCGCGAGTTGTTCTTGATAGCCAATTGCATCGACCTGTTGCGTGTTGGCCGACTGGGCCGGCTAGGGGATGCCCTCGCGGCTCGCTGGCTGGCCCTCGAGCAAGCGGGGCTGGACCAGAACTGGTCCGCTGCCCGGCATCTCGAGATATTTTCGCCAGACCATGCCACAGCGGCGGGACCGGCGGTGACGTTAGCGGCCAGGAAGTTTTCGAAGCTGATGGAGAAGGTCACCGACCAGGACAGCAGGCCACGAAGCAACAAAGGAGGCAAGGGAGATGCCGGCTGGGGTCGACCCGATCGCTGGCAGGAAAAAGGAAAGCGAGGCAAAGGCGGCAAGGACGGCAAAGAAGACCGAAGGCAGAACTGGGGAGGCAGGGGCTCCCCGAAGAAAGGCCAGTGGAGCAATTGGTGGCAGAAGCCGAAGGGGCAGAAGGAGAACAGTTCCGACAAGGGAGACAAGGGAAAGGAGGAGTGATGGAGCGGCATTTGAGACGCTCTTGGTTGGACGAAATGCTAGCCTCTGCTGGAGATCTATCCGCGCTGGGGCTCAGCGTGTATTTTGAGCTTTTCCGGAGCCCGGCGATCGATGGAGGTCGCCCTTGGCACTACTTCCGCGCTTTTGCTGCGCTGAAAAAAGTGTGTCTTAGCTCTGGCCAGCTATCACGAGTGCTGCACTCTAAACGTCAGGTTTTCCCTCTCCCTTCTTTTGTTTTCCCAATTTTGTCGAACGTCGATGAGTTTTTTTGATTTTGAGTCCTTTGTGAAGAGGGGTCAATGTCGGGCAACCCTTGCTAGGGCCTGCTGGTGTGAATTAGTAGTTCTGTTTGCTAATCATTTGGCCTGTGGTAATGCTACCCGTGCGTGTTCACGTCCTACGGCGGTGCAACGTGATTTGATGAGCTCAATCCGGGCTGCTGTTGACAGGATCTTGATGGATGACAGTCACGTGCTTTGGGGGGGTTTCAGAAATCAAAGAAGATTTTCAGAAAAGAACCGTGTCCTACAGCGGAGAAATTTGCAAGGCTGAAGCTTTGAGCCTAGCCAGAATCAAACCTGGACTTCCTCCTGAAGGTCACGGAGGGTCAATTGAAGCTGTCAAGTGGGTTGGAGGCAGGACACGTGAGCTTCTGTTGAATCCCCTCGGTTGCTTGTGCCCGGATGTTGGGCAAGATCTCCCAAGGTTGCAAGGAAAGGTTCATATAGTGCGAGAAGAGGCTCTTACTGTGGCGATGGAGCTGGTGCGACGAGGCATTTGTCGTTGGACCCACTCTTCTGAGGTCGTCACCTATAGAGGCCAGAAGGTTCTGAACGGACTGTTTGGAGTACCTAAGAGCAAGTTGCTGGAGAGTGGCGAGAGTGTGCTCAGGGTCATCATGAATTTGGTCCCCATCAACTCTGTCCTACGTGTCATCCCTGGTAGGGTCGCCAAGTTGCCTAACATTACCCAGTGGCTGAACGTTGTTTTGGAAGAGGGCGAAACAGTCCGTCTAGCTCAGTCGGACATGACTTGTGCTTTTTACCTTTTCGGCATGCCAATTGAGTGGAGCAGACTTCTGTGCTTCAACCTTAGTTTCGACTCCTCCACGTTAGGCGTTGAGGCAAGGTCTAACTCGGAAGACAAGTGGTATTTGTCATGTGCCGTACTCCCGATGGGTTGGAGCTCAGCTGTGGGCGTGATGCAAGAGATCGCAGAAAGTGTGTTGCTTCAAGGTGGAGTGGATGACCAAGGACAAATACATAAAACCTGCCCCCCTGCCCAGTTGGATGATTAACAGTACCTCTGAGGGTATGCGTCAAGGCCGTCCTTGGTGGCATGTCTACCTAGACAACTTTGCTGGGGGTGCAAAGGTAGTTGAAGGACAGCCGAAAGAGCTCATTGAGTTGCAACGCACGGCAGAGGCGCTTTGGGGCGAGGCAGGTATTGTAGTGTCAACTGACAAGTCAGTAGTGGCCGCTGAGAGTGGAGTAGAGCTGGGTGCCTTTATAGGTGGCTCCGGTCAGTGGCTTGGCGCCAGTTGTGAAAGGATGATTAAGATCATCAAGAGCACATTGTGGCTTATCCACCAGCCCAGCATCTCCAAGAAGAAGCTGCAGATCATGATGGGACGGTGGTGCTTCGCTTTGCAATTCCGCCGACCGGGTATGTGCCAGTTTGATGCTGTCTGGGCCTACATCAGCTCCAAGCACCCCCCGTGCTAGGCAGATTGAGGAGGTCAGGCAGGAGCTACTTTTTGCGGTTTTAGGGACCCCCCCTTTTCCATACTTGGCTAGGATCCCGGATCGATGAGGTGATTACCTGCAGTGACGCGAGCCAGAAAGGAGGTGCCATTGCCATCTCGCGAAGTCTCTCAATGGAAGGAGAAGGGTTTTTGGAATCTCAGAATCAGAAGAACCACCCTTTGGCCATCCCGGTATTGGTGATATCCCTTTTCAACGGGATAGGGGGCGCAGCGAGGTGCTATGACGTGGCAGGCGTGAAGGTGAAAGCCTATTTGGCATGCGACATACACAAACCTGCAAACCGAACTATGGCTCGGAGATGGCCAGACACAATCTTCTGGGATGACGTGAAGACTTTGACCCTGGACAAGCTCAGAGAATTGTTGGAACATGTGGAGGACTTTGAAGAAGTTCACTTGTGGGCAGGATTTCCCTGTGTGGACCTCAGCAGCGTTAGGGCGAACAGACTGAATTTGGAAGGAAAGTCCAGCGGGTTGATCCGTGAGGCCGTGAGGATTTTTGATGACACCAAGTCTCTTTTTCCCCAAGCTGCCTTCCACTTCTTTGTGGAAAACGTGTCTAGCATGGACTACAGTGCCAGGGATGAAATTAGTCGCATGTTAGGTGTTCTGCCCTACAAGGTGGATCCCAAGGAGCAAGTTCCGAACTCAAGACCTCGATATTGTTGGACTACAATGAATATGGAAAATTTGGACTACAATGAATATGGAAAATTTGGATGGCCTCCACATCACTGAAAAGCCTGGGTACAAGGAAGTTTGGGTTGCAGGAGAATGGCCAGCCCCCCGCACAGTGGCTCACCCCGGGTTGGGAGCAAGCAGCCCCTGGGGTTATCTATCCCACATTTATGAAAGCAATCAGGCGTGAAAGGCCTCCCCCCCTAGGCCGGCTGGAATAGAGCGAACTGACGCTGGTACCCGGTGCCGGTGGGAGAGCGAGGCCTTTAGGTTCCCTCCTTATCAGTACAAGTCCCAGTATGTAGTTTACAACCCAGCTGGAGAAGGCAGGCTCTTGAATGCAGATGAGCGTGAGCTACTTATGGGCTACGGCAGATCCCATACAATGCTCTGCATGTCTGCCTCGGAGGCGAAAGGACAACCCACGTCATTTGAAGATGAAAGGTGCAGCTTAGTGGGGGGACAGTTTTTCTATTTGGTCTTTTGTCTTATTTGCTGGTGCTGCGGTTGCCAAGTACACTGGTATTTTTAAGCCGGACCTCTTATTTTCACGCATGGGTCTCCCCCCCGGGCGCTGGCCTGCACCCGGCCTTGAGCTGCCCACTTCAATTTGGCTGCCTTTTCCCTAGTTTCTCTGCGTCCCGAACGGTTAAGCAGTTGAATGACCACCTCTGTGCCCGCGTAAAGCACACAGGGTCAGACATTCGTATTACCACAGGACAAGTTATGAACCCGAGCGCTCTGCCGCGGCAATCGGTTCAAGCCAGTTGGTGGAACTGGACCGCCGTGTTTAGCACGCGCTGGAGTCAAACTGAGCATATAAACGCCCTTGAAATTCGGGCAATATACCTCACTATTCTTTGGAAAGTGATGAACAGGCAGTTGGTAAATCGGCGGATGTTTCACCTCACCGACAGCTATGTGGCCCTCTCTATACTTTCTAAGGGTAGGACAGGGAGCGCCAAGCTCAGGTATATTGTGCGCAAGATCAACTCCTTACTTTTGGTGAGCCACTCACTCCTTCACCTAGCCCACGTTGATTCCTACGAGAATCCTACCGATGCCGCGAGCCGCGCCTGAGCTGCTACGACGACAAAGGCTGCGACGCCGAAAGGGTTTAAGCCTTCATGACCGAGCGGTGACACTGAAAACCAGAATCAGGTATTTCGTTGCTGTTTCCGCCTTATTGCCCGCTCTTGAAAAGACAAGGGACGACATTGATGATTTTCTCATCGCTTGGATTGACCTCCAATATGTCCAAGGCGCCAGTATCACTTCCGTAGCGGATGCCCTATCAGGCCTGCACCATTATCTCCCATGGAGCCGAGGTAAAATTCGTGGAGCATGGAAGCTTTATGGTGTTTGGAGAAAGTTGGAAAAACCCAAACAGGCACCCCCATTTCCTGTCAATGTCGCGGAAGCATTAGTTGGACGTTGTGTAGATCTCGGTGGTCGCCGTATCATTAAAAAACTCTGCCTGGGGTTCTGGGGAATGCTGAGGACTGGCGAGATCTTTGATGTCAAATTCAAACACCTCTTGCTAGGAAAAGAGAACATGATTGTGCGGCTGGGAGACACAAAAACCGGGCTGCGCCGACAAGTCGATGAGAATGTTATCATTGATCATGTCCCCACCATGATGATCGCTCGGACACTATTTGATATTGGAGTTTCACGTCACGAACATGTTTGGGGGGGAATCAAAAGAGCAATTTCGAGAGGGCTTTCGTCAACTCCTGAAGTTCTTCCATTTGAAGGCCTCTTTCAGGCCCTACTCCCTCCGTAGGGGGGGTGCTACAGAAGATTTCCGCCTTCACGGCTTGATGGAAAGGTCACTTTTACGTGGTCGCTGGGGCTCGAGCTTTGCTGCAAGGCAATACATACAGGAAGGTTTGTCCATGCTGACTAAATTGTCCCTTCCCCCCCCGTTCCCTGCCCTTGCTATCCCACTATCGTTCTCTTTTGGCCCTCCATTAATTCCGGTCCAGTACTGGGATCGTGGAAAAGTGCTTGGATAAAGGCCGAAAGCTTTCAGTTGGATTCATTTGTTTGGCTTACTCACATGACCTGCCAATATGGTCACTGGCCCTTTTGAGGCACTCAAAT